TCCATTGTAACCTCTGTCTGGGACTTGCTTTGTGACCTTATATCTTTCTGATCTCTATGCCTCGGTTTCCCCATTTGAGAAATAGGGCTAATATTACCTTCTTGGTTTTTGTGAGGTTCTTGTGGTATCACGTGTGTAATGTAGTAAACCAGAGTCTGGACTGCAATTCATCCAAACAAATGAGATTTACCTGTGGTTAGTAGTCGTGGTAGTGTTTTATTGAGAAGCAATCCTAATTCTTATGGGTGAGCTCTGGGGACAAAGTAAATGCAGCCCCTGCTCTCATGAAACTCGTGTGCTTGTGGGAGAGGCTGACCAGACATCAATAACATATTCTGCATAAGTCTCTGAAGAGAAGCTGGTTAGGGAAGGCTATCGGGGGAAGGATCCAGAAGACCTGGAATGTGACTACTGCTCACGGAGGGAACAGTCGGTGTGAAGCTCTGGGAGCAGAACAAGCTTAGTATTTGAGGGATGGAAAGGAATGAGCTAAGAGGGGAGGGATAGGCCTTTATTTTTTATTTTTTTACATAAACATTCTATTTTGGACTATGTTTATATTTACAGAAAAGTTACAAAGATAATACAGGGAGTTCCTGTATACTCCTCACCCGTTTCCTGGACGTTATCTTACATTGTCACCGTACATTTGTCACTACTAAGAAACTGGCGTGACTACTAAATAAACCCGACACTAACGTCCTTTGTTTCTGTTCCAGGATCCAATCTGGAACACTACATTGCAGTGAGTCATCCTGTTTCCTTAGACGACTCTGATCTGCAGCTGTTTATCAGTTTTTCCTTGTTTTTCACAACATTGACTGTCTTGAGAAGTACTAAGTCAGTTATTTTGTAAAACGGAGGTCTGTTTTAACGAATAATACTAACTTATTTAATCCTCATTTCACAAATGACCAAACCGTACCTCAGAGAGGGTACATAACTTGCCCAAGGTCACAGAGCTAGTAAGTGGCACAGCCAGGATTTGAACCCAGGCAGCCTAGCTCTAGAGTCTGTGCTTTTAATGGAGACAAGAGAAGTCAGATTATGTAGAACTTTGCAGGCTGAAGTAAAGATTTCGGACATTTTTATTTTTTAATTCTGAGATCGTTGAGATGACTTCAAACGCTTCTAAGGAGAGGCATGACTTAATTTATGTTTTTTTTTTTTTAAAGATGACCGGTAAGGGGATCTTAACCCTTGACTTGGTGTTGTCAGCACCACGCTCACCCATTGGGCTAACCGGCCATCCCTATATGGGATCTGAACCCCTGGCCTTGGTGTTATCAGCACCACACTCTCCCGAGTGAGCCACGGGCCAACCCCTTAATTTATGTTTTAAGAAGAGCACCTGGTCTGCTGTTGGAGGATGGATTGCTGTCCTCCAGGACAGGAGTGACGGTGGCTCCAGGGGCGGGCCGGGGGGGGGGGGTAGTGGAGACGGAGGGAGGTGAATGGATTTGAGATTTATTTTGGAGAAAGGGCCCTCAGGCCTTGGTGCCTGATGGGAAGCTGGGGTTAGGTCAGGGAGAGTCAAAGGATGATGTAAAAGATTTCAGCCTGAGCAGCCTCTTTGATATGAATTTTCTTACAAGAAGTTCACAACATCCCATTTTTAGGATGAGAAATCCCAGGTACTGGGATAGCACCGTGCCGGATGATACTGGTGACACTGAGTGGCCTGCGTAGAAGGATTCGTAATCGAGAGGGCTGGTTTTCTTTTCTCTCCTGGAGACTGTGATGAGAACCCCGGATCTGCAGATTTCAAGTCTGGGTCTATCCCTCTGGTTACCTCATATCCCAAAGAGGCAGTTTGTCTAGACATGACTCAAAAGTGAGCGTTCGAATCTCTGCTCTGGTACTTACAAGTGCGTGACATTGGGGAAGCTGCTTAAGCTTTCTGAGCCTCCGTTTCTTAGCGAGTTAGCGCTCACTGCTCAATTCCAGCGTAATGGGGTTGCTTCTAGCTTGTTCTTTTATTGCTTCTCTTATTACTGCAATCGGGGTGCGACTCTACTTGAACAGCAGGGGTCCCACCTCTTCTTTTAAAACGTACTAGCCCTTTAAGGGCCACCCCTCGTCCTCCCCCACGCGGTGCCCCTCCCTCCTCGCGCCACGCTAGGAGACCGGGAGGAGGGATCTTTGTCGTTAAGGTTCCCAAAATTGACAAGCAAGTTCTGAAAAGGGACCAATCAATTCCTCTGTCGGGAAAGCGAGATTTCCGATTTGCTGGGAAACTCCAGCGGTGATTGGTTTGAGCTCCGCTCACTCTCTGTTACGAAAAGCACCGCAAGCAATTATTCTCGGCTCTGATTGGTCGGAGGGTTCCTCTTTCCTCGAGGGGAGGAGTCGCTTCCGAGTTCCAGCCTGGCAGACTGCGGGTCCGCGACCCAATACCCTCGCTCTTTGATTGGCTGCGTTTCTGCGCGCCAGCCCCGCCCTCGCCCTCCGATTGGCTAGCACCTTTCCCCGCCTTCTTAAGGCATTTGTGCTTCAGCTTTTGTCTGTACTCACGTGAGTGGCAATAGCGGGGGCAGGGAGATGCCCGGCGTACCTTGGAAGGGAGAAGGGGCACTGGGCTGAGGGGAAAATGCCACTCAGGCCTCTCCGTGGACCGCTGGGCAGCCCCATCGCCTCGTCCACCGCTTAAGACGAACCCTTTCTTTTTGCTGCGCCCTTACCGGTCTTGGACCATCCACTTTCCAAGATTCTACCTTCAGGGTTTCTCCATTCCACAGGGGATCTCGTATTCCCTTAGGTCCCCCATTTTCCCCTTATACCGTCCCCCCACCCAGCAGACCCTGGGGATCTTTCTCTTTCCCTTGAGCCTTCCCCACTCACTCAGCCCCTCCAAGTTGGGGACCCTTCCAAGTGCAGGGTAGGCATTAGGGCCTCCTGATTGGGGACGTCTCTCATTGCCACCACTACTCTTACATCCTCGCCTTCCCCCCTTCTAGGTCCGGGGGGTCATTCTTGCCTCCCTTTTCTAGAGTCTCCCCTCATCTGGAGGCTCTCATCTCACTGCCCCTTTCTCAGCACCTTTGAGATTCAGGGGTCACCTTTGGATTTTGTCCTAGGAATTCTACTTAATTCCTGCCCCCCACTTTCTTTCTAGCCCCCAATCCCTTCAGAGGACGTGGGAAATCATGCACCATACAAGGAGTGATCTCCAGCTCACACGGTCAATGTCTTAGTCCATTCTTTGGGTTGCTGTAACGGAATACGCTAAACTGGGTAGTTTATAAACAACAGAAATTTATTTCTCACAGTTCTGGAGACCGGGAAGCCCAAGATCAAGATCATTTTCTGGTGAGGGCCAACTTCCTGGTTCATAGATGTGCCTTCTCCCTGCATCCTCATGTGGTGGAAGAGATAAGCTCTCTGGGATCTTTTCTATAAGGGCACTAATCCTATTCATGAGGTCTCCAGCCTCATGACCTAATTACCTTCCAAGGGTCCCTTCTCCAAATACTATCACATTGGGGGGTTAGGATTTCAGCATAGAATTTGGGGGGGGCACACAACATTCTACAGCAGTGGATAAAGTGCACACCATGGCGGTAGCTAGGCCTCAGCTATCAAGAGGGTATATCACCCAAGAGGGCAGCAGGAGGCTGTGCAGTGTGTGCCCACGGTGGAATTGGAGATGTGGAAGAAGGGGGGAGCAATAACTCTTGTCAAGAAACAGAGGAGTCAAGAAAATCTCAACAGGTCCACCCAAGTCCTTACACTTTTGCTCCATGAAAGAGCTAGTATATTTGGACAGCCACCACACAGAGGGCCAGCAGTGTTAGCCAGAGAAGCAGCTTCAGCCAACAGAGACCACAACTATTGCCAGTTAGGTCAAGCGTTACTGGTCTCATTAACTGTCCCTCCTCTAGGTCCCAATACTTTTTAGAAAACAAGGC